GGATGAGGATGTAGAAGATGCAGATGGAGACGACTAGCAGCAGGGCATGACACGATTATTATGATACGCCGCTGAGAGCCTGTTATTGAATGTCGTAATACGGCCAGCGGCCAATTTCACTGTACATCGGGCCTGTTGTATTATTACGCTCTCGATGTTCAGCGAATTTGTAGGGCCAGACCCGTTACCAGCGAGTTATATGGAATTACTCGTGAAGTTGGCTCCAAATTGGACCGGATGGTAATTGCCATGAAATGGCAAAACGGACTCATATTAGCTGCAAATCAACCTTGTATCCTTGGGCGCAGAGAAATACCTCTTCTTTGCTTGATCAAGCCGTGTCTCGGGGTGCAAAATGTTGGAACCTCCAGCTTGAGCTCCAGCTTGAGTGAGAACTCTCGCCACAGCATGTGTGGCGGTGCGTGCATGATGACGTCGCTTTGGTGAGGAGGTACCAACTACAGTTGGACCGTGCTACAGAAAGGGATTATCAATGTACATGTACTTGTACACCAGTACTTCCATGTACGACACCAAAGAGCAGTCGAGACATGTGATTGGGAACAATTTCCCAGCATGGCATGATGGGACAAGCCCCTCTCCTTATGTTACAGCCTTTTCACTTTTACCTACCACCTCTACAAGAGACTCTGGATCAGAGCTTCCTTTCGCTTTTCCCATTTTCACTGTCGGTTTCCCTAGTCCCAAATCCATTTGCACCTAAGTTTTCCGCTCAAGTTCCACGCGGAGATATCCCCTTGCATTCGGGGTCCGTCACAGCTATCGCATTCTTAAAATGCTGGAATATTTTACCATCAAGAAGTTGAAGAAACATCGGGATGAAAAGGCGGGAGAAGAGCAGAAGGCGGGCAAGGACAAGCATGAACTATCTTCTGAAGCCGCATCAGGGGCATCGGCAGTGAATCCAGACAAAGACAATAATCCTCAGATCACCTCCAAACCACAGGCCCAAAATGATGATGCCGCGATCGAGGGGACTCCTGTCCTCGACCACGAAGACGAAGAGTTTCTCAAACGCCTCACTTCGGGAGATTTGAGCGTCCCCGGCGGCGGCGGCGACGACGATGACACGCCGCCTCCGCTCCCCCCTCGCGTCCAAACGCCCATTATTGAGATCGACAGTGACACGTCTAGCGTTGCAAGTAAAGAAGCAGCAGTAGATGAGAAGGATAAGAGCAAAGAAAAAGAGGAAGAAGAATCAGAAAGTGAGAAGGAAACCGGAAAGGGTAAGGGTAAGGGGAAAGCCAAGGAAGCGAACAAGTCTAAGCGATTCTCCTTCGTAACGAATCTCCCACGGAGCCTCAGCATTCGGCGCAAACCCGGCGCAACTACGTCCACGGCGTCTGGCCTAGAACCCGATCCCAACCACCTTGCCGTACCGTCATCATCCGCGAATCCCGCAGTCGTGGAAGCAGAAGCCGCGTCCGAAAAGAACGACATGGCCCGCGTCCTCGATGATCTGAACCTCCTGGCCAAGAACAACCGCGTGTTCTCGCTCTCTGCCGAGACTGCCGAGACCGTGCGACGCTTCACCCAGGTCCTGAAAGACTTGGTCAACGGCGTGCCCACCGCGTACAACGACCTCGTCAAGATCCTCGAAGACCGCGACGGGATCCTGGCCCGCAACTACGAGAAGCTCCCCAAGAGCCTGAAGAAGCTCATCATGCAGCTGCCCGAGAAGCTGACGTCCTCGCTAGCGCCCGAGCTTCTCGCCGCCGCGGCCGAGGCGCAGGGGCTGACGCCCCTCGAGCTGGAAGTTGGCGCTGAGGCAGGGTCTGGCTCGGGGCTTAAGCAGGCGGCCAAGAAATTCCTCATGTCGCCTTCTAATCTTAAAGACCTAGTCACTAAGCCAGGCGCCCTGGTCGGCATGTTGAAGGGCATCGTCAACGCGCTCAAGACGAGGTTCCCGGCTTTTGTCGGCACCAATGTCCTCTGGAGTCTTGCCGTCTTCTTGCTCCTCTCTATGCTCTGGTATTGCTACAAGCGCGGTCGAGAGGTGCGGCTCGAGCGCGAGGCTTCCGAGGCTGGCGCGTCTGCTGCGGCTGACGAGAAGGTGGAGAAGACAGATGAAACTATTGATGGACAGCCGAGGGTTGAGGAATTGCCTGACGATCTGCAGCTGCCTGCTGCTTCCGGAAAGGATGGAGGTGCATCGAAAGGCGACGCGGATGGGAAAGAATGAATGATGCGATGGGTGTTGGCAGATTGTTTTCTTTCATTCTCGAAGAATCGAGGTAGAGGCGTATTCATGATGGCGCAATGAATCGTACGGTCACGCTTTTTACGACGGATGTTCACACGATGATACCCGGTACACCACTTTGATAGTTGGGTCTTAAACTTTGTTTGACTGCCTTTCTGCACTCTAAATAGGTAATGCATTAGCTATTCAGTTCACCTCCTGCTTCTCAAGCGGTGCGATACGCCCTTTCGAAATAGGAAACATCGGGTGACTCTATAAAATGCAATGCTAGCAGCATAGCAGGATAAACTGATGTCACCGCGACTACTAGTCGTCCTGCACCAGTTCCTTGATCTCTTCACTGGCCGGCGCGATACCAACCGGCTCAGCTTTCTCGTCGCGTCCACCAGTGCGATCAAGAACACGCGCGCCATCCTGCATCCAGAAATCGACCTCGTCGATGACGTCGGCCACGATGTCCTCGACGATCTGCTCGTCGTAGCGCTCGGCGACGGCTCGCACCACATGCAGCTTCTTATTCTGCGGCTGCTTCGGTCGCACCGTATCGTCATCGCCCACATCCATCATCTCTGCATCTTCATCCTGTGCCGCCGCAGTGGAGGACGGAGCGGCGAGCCCGGCAGGCGGGTACCAGAAGTCCGGGCCGAAATTAGCCTCGACGGCGCCGCCCCGGAAGACGCTGATGGCGGGATAGTATCCGAGCATGCCGTCGTCTTTGCCTTCCCGCGCGCCGACTTGCGCCTGCGGCTTCGACGCCGGCGGCAGGAAAGCGAGGAGATCGGTGAACGGCGTACCCATGAGGACCCCGTTCTTGTACACCTTGATGTACGAATTTGGGAGCGTCCGCAGAGCGGGGACCGGATTGTGTGGATTGGGTTTATCACCTGGCCTACTACCTATGTGGCCGGCCACACCCGCCGGGGACGGGTTCATGAGGTCTTCTAGCTCTTTCGTGGTATGGTAATCGATTTTTTCAAAGTAGATATGCGCCTTGAATCGGATAGGTATGCGATCTCGGACGATATTGGCCACCTCTAGGACGGGGTTCGCCGCTTCATTGAAGTCGACGGCGGGATTATACCGCCCTTGCACAATCTGCCGGTGTAGGTGCTCAGACGGTAAGCGTATCTCCAGCCCTATCACATCACCTTCCCTCATGTCCTCGCCCGGAGGGAAGAAGTCTTTCGGTCGGGACATGTGCACCTTCTGTCCGCCAACATCTCGGAATCCGTAGCTATAGGCATCGAAGCCCACAGGCGCATCTAACGAGGCCTCCCTGCGGGCGAAACCTATACGGACATGTCCATGCGATTCGGGTTGGTTCGGCTCCTTCGCCCCGTTCTTGCTCCCCTCTACTTTCTGTATGACGCCCCGTGTTATCTTGCATTCCCAATACCAGGTTCCCTCGCGCACGGCCACATTGGCCCTGGCCATCCGATATCCCTTGTCGGTCGTTATGTGGCGCCCAGACTGGTCCAGATACATGTGGGTTGATGCATCCTCGAAACTTATGTGGGGACCATACGGCTCGGGTTCGGTCTGACGGTAATAGAAGGACGAGGGAAAGGCAGGGTCAGCGATGCAGTGCTGATAGTGATAGCTCTTTTTGTTATACACGCTAGGAGGGCAAAGATCAGCAGGCGCAAATACGGAATTTCGGATTGACAGCTTACTGGTCTGATGTTTCAAAGAACTGTATTGAAGAACCGTCGGGAGCGGGGACATCATGGTGGTAAGTAAAGACCGGACCTCGCGCAGGCTCAAAGTCGGATGGCTTCGGAGGGGCTAGTTTGTATCTCAGGGGAGAGTCGTCCGCGGGTGACTGAATGTTCGTTTTTGGATCAGGCGTTGCTCGAGAGCTCTCTCCGCCGGCACCAGCACCGGCTTTAGACTCACGCTTCTTGAGTGAGTCCTTCTTAGTCCGTGTGGGCTTGTCCCGGGCCACGGCTAGATCGTCGTGCGACTGGATTTTGGCAAGCTTTGGCTCGGGGTTCGGATTCAACGGCGACGAGACGGACGGCGCATGGTCGTCTTCCAGAACCCGCTTCTGGGGGATGGCGGACTGTGGGATCACTGGGATGGGGACGGGCGTTATCTGCCCCTGCGATATGTCTCCGTCGGCCATTGTGGTTTGAAGCGGGCGAATAGATGTTCAGTTCAAGCAGGTCCTACTATATGCGTCCCAACATGAGCATGGTTCCCTCCTAATCTCCCTAACCCTGGCTCGGGGAAGTCGAGAGATCAGTCGGCCCAGCACGTGAATCATGCACCATACAAAATAAGGTCAGTCTGCTGGGAGCATGCAAGTCTGCAAGTATACTGCTGTATAGCTGATAAGAAGTGACTAGCCTCAAGAACGGATATTCGATAGGCACCTGACTGAGTTATAAAAGTGTTGCTAAAAGAGAAAAAGGGACTTGGGCTGTATCTTTCAAGCATTGAGGATTAGTTGAGATGTATCGCGAAAGTCGGGAGCTACGCGCGTCTCCCAAAATTACTTGGTTACCAGAGAGCTCCAGACTGCAGGAGCTATACCCCACAGCGGAACCCTACCACTGCACTACACTGCATCCTTGCTAACCTAAAAATTGCCGATCCAACTTTCCTTCGAAAAAGAGCAAAGCAAACCTTGAAGATGCGAATGCGAGGGACTGCCAACCTAACCATCACACAATAGCAGATTGGTTATGTATCAGGCACCTTACCCAGTCTCAATGACGCAGGCCTAGACAAAGTCAGGATTGTCAAGGTGGGGGAAAAAAGGAAAGGGCAAAAATGACGAACACGGGACTCGAACCCGCAACCCTAAGATACACTCTTACACCGCGAACGGTCTAGGAGTCTTATATGCTACCATTGCACCAATTCGCCAATCTTGTCCGACAATATCCGGAATGCCCAAGCTCGGTGGTAAATGAGCTTATGTAGTTAGTTACAAAGCGGGGCGACACGTGTTTTAGCCGTTTACTTGTAAAGTGCTAATTGTGCCAAATGTAGGTACCTCACCTACTGTATTATCCTTTGCTGGGGAGCTGTGCAAGCCACCAGACGTTCTGTTTTTAACTACCAAGGTATCAGAAACAGACGGTTATCAGCCAAGGTATGCGAAATCGTACATATCAAATAACGAAATCTTCAATGTTTGCAATGTCTCTAGAGAATTTTCCACTGTGTAAACGTACCAACTGGCAACAAGAGCCGGAAGGTGGGGATACCGATAGGGTGTTGCCGCTGCCAGCCTGCCACAGTTGTCTATGGTGTGTCCGTAGGAAGATACACCCGGCACCGCCTAGATTACAGGAGTACGATATACCAGTCGGTATTGTAGTCTGATACTGAGACCACCTTTACCCTATCCATATGCGAAACGGTAGTTCGAGACAGCCAGTCATCGAAACGAGCAACAAACTGTCATCGATGGTCTGGCCCCTTGAAGACTTGGACAGTTGGGGAAAGTAGGTAGGTTTAAGATGTCGTACATCCTCACATACTGCTGTATACAATACCATGGACCGTGTATGCGTATGCTGTCCAGAAGTGAATTGACTCTGCAGTATACAATGGCTCCGATCCAGTAAGGCACAGCATCTTTCGAGGAAATATAGATGAGAAGTTGGAACTTCTATCGAGCGGGCTAGGAAGCCTGGACTCGATAATCCAGAACAACGGACAGGGGGCCGTCTCATGGCAGAAGGGCTTACCCACTGAGCAGGAGGTCGTAAGCTGACAACAAGCCACAGCATCTGGACAAACCCGAGTGGCCGTTGTGATAAAGGTGGTTGCCACTACGAATAGAAATTCGTCTTTGGACAGGGTGGTGGCATCAATATCTCTCCCGGGAGCCAGCCATGCCAGCTTGGTACGGGGTGACAAGTCTGAAATCGCCTCATCATGTTCAGGGATGCAGTTGCGATCCACGAGTCTCTCTCTTGTGTAAGACGCTCTGACCTTGCCGTGAAGGAACAACCCTGGCTGTCTCTCTCGGTTTCTCTTTATCAGCCTGGGTTATCTATCTCGTCATTTGAACCATGCCGCCCCGAGCGTGAACTGTCAAACAGATTCCCGTCCCGAGGCTGAGATATACTGCTCTTTCCAACCGTGTCACAGAGGTATTGCTCGACCAAGTCGGACATTTTCACCTCACCCGCTGCTCTATTTCTCTCTACAGCTGCGGCTCCGGATCTCAACCATTGGACAGCCATGGGTCTAGCTACCGTCCGTCTCGCCTTGCTGGCCACCGCACTCGTGATCATAGTATTGGTCAAGCATTTGACTAGACGGAGGAAACATGGCCCGCTGCCTCCTGGACCCAAGGGCTTTCCGCTGGTTGGAAATGTATTTGATCTTCCAGACGGCAGGGAGCAAGAATGGAAGCATTGGGCGAAACACAGGGACCTCTACGGTATGTGCTTATTGGCCCCTGTTTCTGGTTGTTTTCGAAGGAAAAGCCACTAATATAAATACCGTGGGGCAATCTGCAGGTCCTATCAGCTCCGTGACGACAATGGGGACCACCATCGTCATCTTGAATGATTTGGATCTAGCGAATGAGATGTTCGAGAAGAAATCGTCCATCTACTCAACCAGGGCGCAGCAGACCTTTGCTGGACGAATGTGAGTGAGATTCCGAGAGGAGCGGGCCTTACATTTCGAGATGGTGAGAACTAACATATAATCTCAGGGTCGGCTGGGAAAACTCGATAGCTTTAATGCTATATAACAAAACTTTTGTTCAAAGTCGTAAGAGAATACACACTGCCGTCGGTACTCTACGCCATCGTGGTGCCGTACATCCCGCTCCAAGAGAAAGAGACACATCGATTCCTTCTCCGTGTCCTAAATGATCCGAACGAGTTACAGTCGCACATTAGAACGTACGTATAAATGACTTATCCTACTCCATTGGGAACTGGGGATTGACATGTAGTGAGCCTAAGCTGAATATGATAGCGAGGCGGGTGCGATGATTCTAGAGATGATATACGGATACGCGATAGAGCCCCATAAGGCAGACCCATTGGTCGAGATCATGGACACGGTTATTGAGGAGCTCTCGATGGCTGCGGTGCCAGGGGCCTGGCTCGTGGACCTAATACCAGCCTGTAAGACTAGAGCTCACCAGTGGCTTCGGAGCTCGCGATACTAATTCTCTCATAGTGCAGCATCTGCCCTCGTGGCTGCCCGGCACCGGGTTCAAGAAGACAGCGGAAGCCTGGCACATGAATCTGCACGTAGCAGTAACAAGGCCATACGAGTTCGCCAGGCGGCGGATAGCCAATGGCAAGTCCAAAATCTGCTATGTTGCCAACTGCGGGCAGAATCTGAGCGACGAAGATGATTCCATCGTCAAATGGACTGCTGTAGGTTTGGCGAGGTCTGGTCTGACGAGGACAAAAATACTGACATCAATTGCTGCAGTTGACACTCTACGCTGGCGGCTCTGATACGGTATGTTGCGTGAACCCAGCTTTTACCCCCTGATTCCGAGGGATTATTAACGCTTGTCGGATAGACTGGCCATGTGCTGTCGGCGTTCTTCTTGGCCATGACTCTTCAACCAGAAGTGCAAGTCAACGCACAAGAGGAAATCGACAGAGTCATCGGGTCCGGCCGGCTGCCGACGCTGGACGATATGAAAGCCCTCCCCTACATCAACGCGGTTGTGAAGGAGGCTTTTCGATGGCATTTTGTATTGCCCCTGGGTATTCCCCATGCCGCATCCGAAGACCATGTGGTCCGAGGGTACTTCATACCGAAAGGGGCAATAGTGATGGCAAACATAGGGTACGTAAAGCCTGACGAGTGCTCAAGCAATACACCTTACTCGTGTGTTTTTAGCTGGTTCAGCCGAGACCTAGCAGTTTACCCTGACCCTTTGAGGTTTGACCCGCTGCGGTACATTAGCGACAGTCCGGCCCCGGAGGCGACCGACTGGACGTTTGGGTTCGGCCGCCGCATCTGCCCTGGCCGATATCTCGCACTCAACTCCGTGTGGCTGACGATCGCTCGGGCCTTGGCGGTTTTCGAAATCGGTAAAGGAGTGGATGAGCTCGGTCGCGAGATGGAGCCGGTGGTGAACCCTACGACGGGTACCGTCAGTCGTCCCGGCCCGTACCAGGCCTCGATCAAGCCGAGGAGCGCTCTACATGAGGCCTTGATCCGTCAAGCCGAGACCCTCTACCCATGGGAGCCGAGCGAATCCCACGAGCTCAGAGACATTGTAGTGTGACTTTGCATTATTCCAGGAAATAACACGGCACAAACCCGGCTCATCCCCCTGCCCCGTGCGGAGAAGGCATGCGAGAGCATTGCGGGGTGTCGGATGTACCAGTAGTGGACATTACAGTGCCAGTGTACTTGGGCTGTGTAACGACCGCCACCCCCTCAGACGTCGATACCCAAGGTCTTTGTAGGTTAGTCGGTGCCTCCTTGTTCCAAGACTGGCGCTCAATATTCACTCTACAAGCTCGCCGACAAGTCGACTCATCCCTCTTGTTGCTTTGCCATACTAGATATATCATCTGTCCTGGAGAGAGTTGATTGTCTATCCAACATGACGAAAGCAGAACCGCTGATCGATGTAACTATAGCTGTGATTCTCAATATGTCATGATCCTGTCTGCCTTGCTAATCTGAGAACATGCAGCTTAAGTTGAGCAATCCGGAACTATTCCGCAATGACGCCTATGTCGATGGACAATGGGTCGGGGCTAGGTCAGGGAAAAGGTTTGAAGTCCTGGATCCTGGAACCAACAAGCCCTTTGCAACTTGTCCGGACATGAGTGTCGAGGATGTCGACGCCGCCGTTCAGGCGGCCGGCGCAGCCTTTTCCGTCTACAAGAAGTACACGCCGCTCGCTCGGTCCATCCTCCTCGCAAAATGGGATTCTCTCATACGCGAGAACAAGGAGGATCTTGCACGACTTCTCGTCTTCGAGACAGGGAAACCGCTTGCGGAAGCCCGGGGCGAGATAGACTATGCTGCCGGCTTCACACGCTGGTTCGCCGGAGAGGCCGAGCGCATTCAGGGTACAACCTATCCTGCAGCGCTACCGGGGCGCAGGGTCTTTACCATCAAACAACCCATCGGTGTCGTGGCTGCCTTGGTTCCGTGGAACTTCCCCGTCGCGTATGTCTCTTGCCAAAACCCTCTATTGCTTACGTTGTCCCTGGTACCATTCCCCTCCGTGACAATCTTCTGACACAGCTCGCCTCCTTTTAGCATGGTTCTCCGAAAGGCGAGCGCGGCCTTGGCAGCTGGATGTACCATGGTTGTCAAGCCATCCCCGGAAACTCCCCTGACTGCCCTCACCTTGGCCCATTTGGCCGAGAAGGCAGGCTTCCCCAAGGGCGTGCTCAACGTTCTCCCTACCACCCTCGAGAACACCCCCTCACTAAGCGAGGCGCTGTGCAAGCATCCCACCGTCAAGAAAGTATCCTTCACGGGCTCGGTATGTTGTCGTCCATCGGCCCATCAAATCCTCCCATCTTGACTGATAGAATGAAGACACGCGTTGGCAAGATTCTGTCCGCCCATTGCGCCGACAGCTTGAAGAAGTTGACTCTTGAGCTGGGCGGTAACTGTCCGTTCATAGTCTTCGAGGATGCCAATCTGGAGCAGGCTTGCCAGGGTAAGACCGAAGTCATATCCAGTAACGACGTCTCCTAAAGACGGCGGCGGAGGAATGCTGACTGTCAATTCGCAGCTCTCATTCCCCTGAAATTCAGACATGCCGGTCAAGCCTGCATCACGGCGAACCGCGTGTACGTGCAGCAAAGCATATATGACAAGTTTGCCGAGATGCTGGTAGAGAGAGTCAGAGAGCTGAAAGTCGGCCATGGACTGGACGAGGGCACGACGATGGGCGCCCT